AATCTCAGACTATGCCCTACCCGACTTTGCTAGTTGTCAGTACGATGTCGAAAGAGTACTAGATACAGGTGACGTGCTGATTTGATGCTCACTGTCAGGCAATCGGTTTAACTGGATTTGTTCGTGCCAATCCTCGCATTTGTCATAAACAAGAGTTTCAGTTTGGACTCGATTGAGTTCCTCGTTAAAGCCAAATTGGTTTGCAAATGTGTGTATTTCCCGGATTTTGTCGAATTCGGGTTCAAGTGAAGATGATTCAGTGGTTAGATCGCGAATTTACTGGCCGAAAGGTCCGCGGCTCCAACTCGACCTCTGCCTCTCGACTTCCCCTGTCTAGGCTTGGGCAACCTGGCAGTATCCCAGTCCTCGTGCTTCCTTTAGGCGGCATCTACTTGATTAAGCCCTAGATGGACGAAATCGATAGTGGGCTGCTGAAGAGTTTTCTGAGCAACCTTATAATTGGTGTGTTATGTCAAGACACGATTAAACTTATTGTTTTTGGGCCAATAGGTTTCCTGCACTAGGCTGAAAACAGTACTTGTTGAACCTTATGATCTCACCTGGTTTGTTGAGGAGTAGTAACTATGGCTTTACTCTACCATATTCTTGTTGAAGTATGCTTTCTGCCTCTTTTCGCAAGTCGCTTCGTCTCAACTGGAAGATGCCCCTTTCAAAAAGTCGTGCATTGAACTACTCTCAGGCTACAAAAGCCTGGACAAGCGCTATCGAAAAGCCTGGTTAGTACCTCAACCTCGCCACGTTCCCTCATCTTAAACTGCCTGCAGGAAAGCAGAAGCTGGTCTTGCAGGCCCGTGATAGGATCGCTCCTGTAAGCTCATACGTATGATGAAACTGTTGGAAATGATGGCTCAATGGAGTCCTTCGAAGTCAAAAGTAAATTATTATTCTTCCGAATTTTGTGCGACAAAAAGGCTACCCGAAGATTTAGTTTTGAAGATGTCCAATAGAATGTAGACATCCAAGTCAGGGATTGGCATACTCGAGCCTTATGATGATGATGATGAGACATCCAAGTCAGGGTTTGGCATACCCGAGCTTGCGGGCGCTGCGCCTACCTGATAAGGTTCAAACAGACTAAAACTGTACCGTACTCGCGTTAGATTCGCGCAAAGGCGTCATCGGCACGTTGTCAGAAACTGCCTGCGGCGCTGCGCCTACCTGATAAGGTTCAAACGGAGTAAAAATGTACCGTACTTGCGTTAGATTCGCGCAAAGGAGTCATCGGCAAGTTGTCAGAAACTGGCTGAGTAGACCAAGGGAGTTACCCCGGACGGTGGACCAGTGTCAACACGCCCGCGTCAGATGTCTGGAGGTCGAATTCCGGTACGGCCAATGAAATGCACCGGCTCAAGTAAAACGAAACATGAGGCGGCCTGGTGCAGCACGTTCAGTTGCCTGAGAACATCATAAACGAGAGATTCAGCTGGGTTCCAGGTGAGTCTCTC